GGCTTGGGATGCCAGAGGGTCCCGGTTCGGATCCCACATATGAGGGCCAGTGACACTGCCCTCCACAGCTAAGATGCTGAACAACAGCTCAACCTGGAGCTGGGCTGCTGTGAGTCGCTGGCGACGGCATAGGCTGCAGCCCCTGTGGCAGTGGGTTGCCACGGGCTACCGTATGTAGCCAGCAGCCAGCGTGAGAGGCCAGCAGCCGCAGTGAGCGGCCGTCCAGAAGCCAGCGACTGATGTGCCTCGCCCGGGAAGAGCGCAATGATGGTGCCAACTTGGGCCAATGAAGCAACGTCCTCCACAACTAGACTGAAGAACAAAACGACAGCAACTTGTCTGTTCCCCTTTCCCCAATTCCCCAGCACTGTTCCCATCCCAACTCCCCAATAAAAAAACAAATCTTAAAAAAAAAAATTAAAAAAAATAAAATAAATAAAGCAGACTGCCTAGACAAGACCCTGGCTTGACACCTTCTAGCTTTGAGATCTTGGACAAGTCAACTTCTCTAAGCCTCAGTTTCCTTATCCATAGAGTGAGGATAACAGTGCCCATCTCAGCACTGTTGTGAGGAGTATATGAGTTTGTGCATGCAGTAGGCATTCAACAAAGGTTAACTATTATTATTTTCATTATCACTCCTGCTAGCAGCAGCCTCAGTTCCTTCAGTATACTATTTTCATGTTCACCTAGAATCTTTGCAAATGCTGTTTCCTCTGCCTGGAATGTTTTCCGTTTCCACCCTAATTTCATCTCATTCACTCTTTCTCAAGAGGAGTTCTCTGCCAATTCTCTCAAATTCTTCAGAGAAGCTTCCTGTCTTTTTCCACCTGGGTCAGTTCCTAGTTAAACCACACTTGTAATTTAAATGTTATTTGTGAAATACTAGCTAATTTCTACCTCTCTCCTGGTTTGTAAACTGTTTTTTTCCTTCATTGCTGTATCTTTAGTGCCCAGAACAATTTCTGGCAGAGAGTGGCATTGGGAAATTATTTATTGGCTAAATCAGCAAAGTTACCCCAGAAGGTGAAAACTTTCAGCGTTAATTTTTTTCAGGAAATGAATTTGACTCATTGTGTCTTGACTAAAGGATTAACCTACTAATATATTAGGAAATAAATCTAGGATTATATAATTTTATTAAAAATATATATATATCACATGTGTTGGTTTATTTGTAATAAAAAATTATAAGGTATCCTAAGTGAAGATTTGCATCATATTTATAATTTGGTTTTAGAGGATCATCTGATGGATTACCCATAATATAAGTTTATTTTCATTTGCTGTGGAAAGCAGGAAAATCTCCAACACTGTAATCTTCAGGTTTGATTTGTTTATATGACTGTTTACCCTCAAGTTAACTCACTTTTTTCTTTTAAAAATAGCAAAAGAGGTATTAACAAACCGGAGATACTTCCCAGGGAGCAGAATAAGCAGGGCTCAATCAGAATAAACTGATGCAATAAGTATTGGGCTGTTGGAAAAGTCATGACGTATTTTTTCTGTTTTTCATTGCAAACATACGTCATGACTTTTCCGACAACCCAATAGTTTGAAAAAAGGGCTTTTGTAAGTCAGATGGAATGTTACTTATAACTTTTAAGCAAAATGAAACAGTAAACCCATTGGAAGGGGGACTTTGAGAGTCAGGGGGAAAGGAAGGAAACTGGTTCCTCCTTAGTTGTGGGTTTATTTATTCAGTTGTCAGAAAAGTCATGACGTATTTTTTCTATGTTTTCTATGCAAAAATGCGTCATGACTTTTCCGACAACCCAATAGTCTGGGAGGGAAACCTATGGATACTTTAAAATTTGAGGGAGGTCTGTGTGTTCAAATATTAGCATATTTTTCCAGGAAAGACATCACATAGGATTTTGAATTGATGCAAGCCCCAATTTATTAGATAAGTAGGGGAGCAGAGCAACAATATAAGCAAACAAGAAACAGGGACTTTCAGATCATTGAAGGAATTTTTATGACCCAGATGGAAGGAAGGAAGGTGAAATTCCAGGGCTAGGAAAATAATGGGAGAGACCTGTCTCCTCCCCACTTTTGGAGACCCACCATTTTATAATACAAATCACTGGGAAACATTACTGTGAAGCCATCTTTTTTGTTAACTATAGTATGCTGAAATCATAAGTAATTGCATTTTTTTAAATATTTTATTGGGGAATTGGGGGGATGTGAACAGTGCTGGGGAATTGGGGGAAGGGGAACAGACGAGTTGCTGTCTTTTTGTTCTTCAGTCTAGTTGTGGAGGATGTTGCTTCAGTGGCCCAAGTTGGCATCATCACTGCGCTCTCCCCAGGTGAGGCAGATGAGTCGCTGGTTTCTGGACTGCCGCTCAATGCGGCTGCTGGCCGCTCAAGCTGGCTGCTGGCTACACACGGTAGCCCATGGCAACCCACTGCCACAGGGGCTGCAGCCTACGCCGTCACCGGCGACTCACAGCAGCCCAGCTCCAGGTCGAGCTGTTGTTCAGCATCTTAGCTGTAGAGGGCGCAGTGTCACTGGCCCTCATTTGTGGGATCCGAACTGGGGCCCTCTGGCATCCCAAGCCAGTTCTTAACCATCGCGCCACTTGGCCGGCCCAGTAATTGCATTTTTGAATATATATAGTTATTCAGTCATTCATTCATCAGAACACATTTATTTGGTTTCAATTATTTGCCAAGCTTAGAGTAAGAGTATCATTTTTTTTTAATGGTAGCGAAATAGCTCTTTCTTAGAATTGGTGCAAAATTAGTTATTGCTCAAAAGTATGGCCTGGAGATACTAAGTATGACCTTGGTACCGCAAGATACCAAGATATAAACTTTTTTGGAAATTTGAATGTGTGGACTTGCAAAACCCTGCTAATAACCACCTCGCCTATTTATTAATTATCTGCCGCCAAATCAGATGGAAAGGACTTTTGAAGTCATATGGTTAGAAGACTCTGCACTTAGGGTAACTGGTTTCAATAACATTCTAATACTTGTAATCAAGCTATGTCCTTGACACTCAAGACCCACAGTCTTGACCCACAGTATTGGCATTGCTTGGGAGCTTCTAGAAACACAGATTCTTAGGCCCCACCCAGACCTACTGAATCAGAATCGACATTTTAACAAATGCTCAGGCTATGCCAATGGACATTAAAGTTTATTATTAAGCACTGCTGTCCAGATCCCTCCCAAGTGGTTTTTAGAACAGACCATCTTTAGAAACAAGTGACTCATTATCCAACGATGCAACATGTAGTATTTTCAGGCAACCTAAATGTTAGCAGGTTCTTGCAGCATGAGCTCAAACCTAACTCCTTGTATACTGCATTCACTGGCCATGGCTTAACCGCCTGGTAGCCTTCAGAACCTTGTTAATCTCTCTTCTTCATGAAGGCCCTCCAAACATGAGAGTGGGCTATCTTGTTTCCTGCCTTGTTTTAAGCTTCTCTAAATGTAACTAAATCCTCATTACCCCAGTTGTTTCGTGTATGACACTGAGGTTATTTTACCCACCTATTCAAGACTAGATAATCTTTTAAAGAGCTGAATCTTACAGTTTCAGAACTGTGATTGCACCTTTACTCCAGCTAAGGAGTAGTGGGTAGAAGATGATAGAAACCCAGGAGCTGTACTTTTTATACATTTACGGAGAATTATGGTGAGGCACAAATTTATCCGTAATTTCTTCAGGTTCAAAATTCTGTTTCCTGGTGGAGACTTCTCTTACAATAATAGCCACTAAAGAGCACTGCTGCCTGATTTCTAATTTCTTTTTTTTTTAAATTAAAGTTTATTGGGGTTACAATTGTTAATAAAGTTACATAGGTTTCAGAATTGTACACCTGACTTCTAATTTCTAAATGGGTCAACTACTTAGCACTTCAAATGTGAAATGCATATAGAAATATATGAAAAGAAGCATTTTCTGTTTCTCTATAAATTGTAAGATTTAAGATTTTAGTCTTAAGATTTAAATTAAGATTTTAAACTTTTAAGAAAAAAATTCCCTACAACCCACAACTCAGCACATCAACTGATTTTGTTTTTCTCTAATGGCTTTCAGTAATGTGTTACACACACTCACATTGAGCACACAGAAATAATCTCAGTGTACTCAGCTTTTAAAAGTTTTCTTTCTTTACTTGGTAGAATCCAAATTCTTTTTCACGTTACTGTATGATTTTCATTATAAAGCATAAGAATTTCCTTATTGTAAGTCATTCGAGATCGTAAGTAGCTTCTGAAATAAAATACTGCCATATTTTTGTGGGGTTTGTTTTTGATATTTGTTTCCAAAGAATGTTTTTAAAAATAACATATGTTCTACTAACACAAGAAATACAGAGCACGTGGCTTTTTGTTTTTTTGTTTGTTTTTGTATCAGGGTTAGTCTTGTGTAAGAAAAGCTGTAGCAGGAAGGTTTTGAGGGGTTTTTAAAAAAAATTTTTTTTGAGAAAGTGGCCACAGCACATTCTTAAACGAGTTGTTCTGCTTATTAACTTCCCCACGCTTCTTCTCCCCTCACTTTCTTCTAGATATTTTTATTCTCCTTGACCTCCCCCTCATTCTCCTCTCTCCCTCCCTTCCCTTCCTTCGGAGAGTTTTCAGAGCAACAGCCCCTTCTCGCACCTCCGCACTTAACAATAAAGCTGTGTGTATGAGCGGAGAGAAGCTGAAAAATAAGACAGATGGCTCTTTCATTACCAGGTTGCTTTGGATTAATTGAGCTGGGTATGTTATTTTTTTCAAGGAGACTGAGAGCTGGATCCTGTGGATAACCAGTCATGAACTACAGCCATGTAATATATGCTGCTGGTGTTGCTGTCGGGTTGTCTTGTTTTTGTTTTTGATCATTTCATCATCCTGTAAAGCATTTTGGGGGGTGTGGGGGGGTCAGGAGCGAGTTTACTAACATAGTGTTTTCATTGAAATGTTTTTAATAATTAAAATTTTTCTCGGGTAGCTGAGTCATTCTTATAAGCATGCTATCTTTGTGTTTTCTTCCAGCACTTGCAAGTGAAGAAGCAGCACCACCTCTGTCTTAGATGATTTCTAGTGGGGAGGCTCCGACTATTTAGCAGTCACCCCAAGCATCACGGCATCCTTCACCGTCAGGAACACAGGGCCTTTGGGAAACAGATTCCTTTAAAGTGCAGGTAAGCAAAGCCATTGTCTCAGACTTTGAGCGCTTGAAATGTTCTTATATACTGATACAATGTTTCTACCTCTAGCAGATGACTTAAAAATACCCTCTCCTTTGTATAAGGCTGCCTGTTAATTTATCTCTTACTATTTTACCTTGTGTCCAGAGGAACTTTGGGACTCTTTTTTTTTAATATTTTATTTTATTTTATTGGGAAACAGCCATGGTCATTGGTTACACATTGCTTTCATGCTACAATGGCATGATTTACCCTTTTTTAAGGAGGGCATAGCTCACAGTGGCCCATGTGGGGATCGAACTGGCAACCTTGGTGTTATCAGCATGACGCTCTAACCAACTGGGCTAACCGGTCACCCCAAGAACTTTGAGACTCTTAATGTAACCAATGACTCTTTAGCATACCCCAAAGTTGAGCTATGGGATTTTTTTTCTTTTACCTTTTTTTTTTAATTAGTTGTAGGTAGAGCTATGGAAGTTTTAAATATTATTTTTATTCTCAATCTGAATGGGCCTTTCGTGGGACTATTTTAAAGCAATATAGAAGTGAAAGTGGAAGAAAACTCTTAAGTTGAAACTAGAACATGACATGCATCACAACTATTATAGAAACTGCTGTAAACAAGCTGTGTGACTTTGGGCAAGATGCTTGCCCTCTCTGGGCCTTATTTTTTCAGTGGAATGAACTCTAGTTCCTTCTCTGTCTTTAAATACTACAATTAATAATAATTTCATTAAAGTAACTTAATATAATTTTTAGGCACACTCTCCTTAGTATTCCTCTGCAAATTTAAGACACCAATTTATAAATTTATCCTGAAAAAGTTCTGGAGAGCAAATGTCCATCAGGAATCAGCTCCATGTTTTACCCATGAATCCATCTAGTCTTTCTGACTTAAGGTTCATCAAAGAACAATTATTCTAATAGTGGGTTTGTTACACTACTGTTTTGTTTGGAAATCCTTTTGTGAAGGACACTTATTGACTGAGAACTTTGTGCTTTGGTGGTGCTAGCAAATGTGGACATTTACAATGGTTTTGGGATTTTTGTCCTTGGGAATCTCTTGAGCTCTTCATTATTGAAACCGAGATCACTCACGAGTGGTTTCGAAGCCCTTCCCCGGTGTCTTGAGCCACTAAGCTTGCAGAACTCCTCAGACCATGCATGCACCTAGGCTGGAGGCAGGGCTGGATCTTCAGGTTTCTTACTGCCAGAAACATCTTAATTTAATGGAACCTGGGTTGTAATCATAATCATCTTGGTGATTTGTCGAACGGCCTTTCCTGTCAATATTTATATCTTCTGACATCAAGAACATGGGAATATTTTGAGTCTTTATAGCACAATGGTGAAGAGCATGGGTTCTGTTGTGTGCTTGGGTTCAAATCTCAGCTCTATCACTTAGTACTGGGGTATCCTTGGGTCTGTTATAACTTCTCTAGGCTTTAGTGCCTTTATCTGTATGATAGGGATGACAATAATACCTTTCTTGAAGGGTGTTTCTGAGGATTTAACAGAATTATACATCTAAAGCATTTAAAATAGTTGTCGCGTAAGTGTTCAGAATATTTGAAGTCTTTATTGCCGTCTGTTGCAGTGATTATTCCTCAGCCCCCATCCTCTAGTCTAGGGCTGACGAATACTCAGCTCTCCATTCCTGCTTTGTTAGACATTTGCTGGTTGAAACTTGACATTTGCTTCTGAACCTAGAACACAATATGTGAATCTTTCTCAACACTATAATGGATCCAAATCAGAGTGTGAAATGAAACCAGTTTGCCAACTCGGATTATTGGTAGAGTTCTTGATTTTATTTCTTGCTTCAAGACATAAATTTGATATGCTGATTGCAAATCAGGGTTATTTGTTTGTTTTTATTATGACTTAGAGCAGTTTTATTATGAGGAGCATAAAAAGGTGTTGGCTTCTATAGCCAGAAATAGGGCCTAATTTTAATACGAGTTTTGCTAATGAACTACTATTTTGAATGCCTTTTATTTTATATTCAGAAGCAGATGTGTAAGGCTTCCTATCACATGATACTTTGAAATGTTGAAACGAATGTGCAGAAATAATAGCTAGCATAGTAATTGAAGCTTAATTTTTTGAGGCTATTAGTCAGTCACATGATGTCATGAGTTCTTTAGGCTCTTTCCCAGGATGTTATGAAATTAGTTTTTTTTAGTGAGGGCTTGGTGTATGGGCAGCTAATTACTTTGCTCATCTTAAAATAAGAATTAAAACAAGATTAGGAGCGTCCTTACCATGTGCTAGACATTTATCTAAGTGCTTTATATTTACTACTTACAATGGCTCTATTAGGTAACACCATGGTTCCCATTTTACAGTTGAGGAAACGGAGATTTAAAAAGGTTAAGCAACTTCCCAGGGTCATCCAACTGAGTTAGAGGCAGAGCTGAGACTCAAACCCAAGAGGGCTGATAAGCAAGCAGGCAACCTTAACACCTAATTATGCTGCGACCCACAAGAATACATTGAATGAAGAAGACGAAAAGATGGAAGGACCAAATTATAGAAGTCTTAAATGCCAGGCTAAGTGATTTTATGTTTATTTGGCAGACAATGGCAAACCCCTGAAGGCTTTCCTATGGGGTAAGGGACAAAATGATTGCTGGGCGCTGAGGATTTTATCACAGGTGCAGCCTGTGGGCTGGTTTAAAGGGAAGAAAGGTTAGAGATTATTGCTAGCAGCTGAGAAGCAATGAAAACATGGGTTTAGGAAACAGGATTAAGAGCTTGAGAGCACCTACCTGTATTTAGGTGTGATGAGGAGGAAGCGCACAGGCAGAGAAGCTGGAGGGCTGAGACCCAGGCCTGTGCAGTACCACCCAAGGGAAGTGGTGCAGGAATTGAAAGCCACAGAGATCAAAGAGCACTGGAACTGGAACGAAACAAAGACTAGTGGGTTGTTACTGCGCACCCACCATGAGGCCAGAATCGTTTTGGGGAGAGGGAATCCACACGAAAATATCCCCCTGTGCTACTGATGCAGCTACTTATAAGTGAGGTAACCTTTGGCAGGCTTTTAAAATTCTTCTCAATCTTGGGTGCCTCTTCTGTGATAGGGTGACATAAGACCTTATTTTGTTTAAATGCCCTGAACTCTTGTGGTCTTTCTAGCTGTAAGATCTGTAATTCTTGGGCCCAAATTGTGAATAGCGATAATTGGACATGTACTTGTAAATGTTTGGCTAGTGGTTCAGCTGGCACTTTTAGGCGAATCAGAAAGTGATGCAGCATGAAGTGTGTGTCCTGCAGGTGTAATCCGAGAGGAGTCCTTTCAAAAATATCAGTAGTGTCATAGTGATACTGGTCGTACATGAAGGATAAGACTGAAAACAGTATAGAAATGAAAATTTCTAGGGAATTTACAAAGAAACCACAAACGTCCCCTAGAATGGTGAGGGAAAGTTTGCTCAAAGCCACTGATTTTCGAAGAGAACCTGAGTAGCTTCTTCAGAAAAAATTCTGTTGATTAGAAATTTTAAAGGTCAAGCCCAAAAGACTTTTAAAAGAGAGAGCATGGAATTTAGAATAAGCTTTCGGTTCCTCTCAAAAACTACTTTTTTTGTGAAGCCGTGACCATCTCAGTTGCATATAATTCCTTTTTCCCTTTGACCTCTAGCAGTGCTTCTCAAACACAACACCTCTTCAAATGCAGATTTGACGCAGTGGATTTGAAGGTGTGGAGCTGAGATTCTGCATTTCTTTTTTTTTTTTTTTTAAGATTTTATTGGGGATTTGGGGGAGGGGAACAGCACTGAGGAATGGGGGGGAGGGGAACAGACAAGCTGCTGTCCTTTGGTTCTTCAGTCTAGTTGTGGAGGACATCGCTTCACTGGCCCATGTTGGTATTATCATTGCACTCTTCCTGGGTGAGGCAGGCCAGCCACTCACAGTTGCTCGTGGCAGCTCACACCAGCTGCCTGCCACCCCTGCTGCAACCTATGCCGTTGCCGGCAACTCACGGCAGCCCAGCTCCAGGCCCAACTGTTGTTCATCTTAGCTGTAGAGGGTGCAGCATCAGTGGCCCTCATGTAGGATCTGTACTGGGGCCCTGCTGCTCAGAGCTGGTATCCCAAGCCAACCCGTAGCCAACTCGCCACTTGGCCGGCCCAAAAGATTCTGCATTTCTATCAGGTGATGCCAATAGTGCTGATCAATGGACCACACTTGGAGTAGCAGGGATCTAAAATATTTAGCTTTTCTTCTCACAATAGATAATCATACTCATTTTGAAAAAGTATAACTTAACCCCTCACCAAACTGTGAATTCTCTTCCCCCATCCTGAAGTAGATGAGTACACCTGCATAATGAGCGCTAGATATTAATAGATTAATGAATACTTACCTTTGTCAGTGGTTTGTGTTATTCAATGATGTCAATTGTTTGGATTGCAATAGGTAGGGGCATTTCCCTCTTAACTGAGAGTTTGTTCAGAAATAGGCAATTTTTCATATAAATTTAAACATATTTACTGGATGACCCATGAGGACATATGCCCACCTTGTACTTGAATGGTCAATGTAGCTTCATTTACAAGAACCAAAAACTGAAAAGAAACCAAATGTCTATTAGCTGGTGAATTGATAAAAATTATGGAATAGCCATGCAATGGAATACTACTTAGCAATAAAAAGGAATGAATTCCTGGTACAAGCAACACTATGGACATTTTTTTTAAAGCATCATACTAATTGAAATAATCCAGAAACAGGATACATACTGTATGATTCCATTTATATGAACTTTTAGAAAAAGCAAAACTACAGTGATAAACGGGGAGGGGAGTTGACTACAAAGAGGAACACAGGAATTTGGGGGGCTGACGGAAATGTTTAGTATGATTTTGGTGCTTGTTACATGACGGTATATATTTGTCAAAACTCATCAAATTGTACACTTAAAAGTGGCAAATTTTATTATATAAATTTTTTTATCTCAGTAAATTGAAAAAAATTGATCATAATCA